AGGTGGAACACTCCTGGTCTGTAAGATAAGGTGGGACACTCGTGGTCTGTAAGCTAAGGTGAGACACTCCTGGTGTGTAAGCTAAGTTGGGACATTCCTGTAGTGTAAGCTAAGGTTGGACACTCCTGGTGTGTAAGCTAAGTTGGGACACTCCTGGTCTGTAAGCTAAGGTTGGACACTCCTGGTGTGTAAGCTAAGTTGGGACACTCCTGGTCTGTAAGCTCATGGTGTGTAAGCTAAGTTGGGACATTCCTGGTGTGTAAGCTAAGGTGGGAAACTCCTGGTTTGTAAGCTAAGGTGGGAAACTCCTGGTTTGTAAGCTAAGGTGAGACACTCCTGGTGTGTAAGCTAAGGTGAGGCACTCCTGGTGTGTAAGCTAAGGTGAGACACTCCTGGTGTGTAAGCTAAGGTGGGGCACTCCTGGTGTGTAAGCTAAGGTGGGGCACTCCTGGTGTGTATGCTAAGGTGAGACACTCCTGGTGTGTAAGCTAAGGTTATACTCTGTTATAGACTCCTGGTCTATAAGCTATACACCTCTGGTTTGTATACTTAAGCCGCATACTCTTTAATTAACTCTCAAGGGTGAGACACTCCTAGTCAATACATTGAGCTTGGATACCACTGTTCTATAAGTTAAGATCAGATTCCCCTGGCCTGTAAGTTAGGGTGCTACTGTCTAGGTCTGTAAATTAAGTTTGCTAAGGCAGGACACCCTATACTCTATCACAGACTGCTTCACTAATATCTTGTTTGGGGAAACCCAAGGTCGTAATATTTCCATAAAAATTGATTAAAAGAAGGCACCATGAAACCAGCTTATTCATTCACCTTAATTAGGACTTAGTAAAGGTTCTCAGAGCAGTTTTAAACATCAGTTCGATAATAAGAAAACAATGACCACAGCAAGGAAGAAATGTACAAATTCCTTTACATGTTTTTCCAAATTACATAGGAGCAATATTAAATATTTCTTAATCTCACTACGAGTGCTTTCAGATATGCCCAGAATTCTTAATGGAATGCAGAATATTCCATTGTTTGCTTAAATAATAAATATTTGTATCAGATGTACTCTGAAGGATATATTTATGTTATAATATTCCAACCGTACTAAAAATGTGGAAACACTCAATAAATAATAGATGTGTTCTGCGCGGTTTATGGATAGATAACCACGCAATGGTTATATACCGTATGGTGTTTCCATGTGCGAAATTTACAGCGGTCTCCAAAACATCTCAGTAAATGCTGTTTTTCTTGGGCCGTTTATGCCGCTATTGGGTCTAATCATTCCAGAGGAAAATATGAGACCCATGGTATTTAGAAACCAAACAGCCTGAAAAAAAGGATAAAATAGCCAATGTAATATATGTATGCACAGCTGTTCTTTTTTCCGTGTCCAAAACACAAATAATGCAGTGATTAAGGCTGGGGGAAAGTCATGGACGAAGCAGAAGTCCACTGTCAAATAACAAGAATTACTTACACCCTGGAGATCTGTAGGTGGATGTGCAGACATACTCATGTTGCAATTATGTAGGTTGTAATGCAGTGCTGTTTACAAGTGATTCTGAGCCTCTGTTTAGATCTGTCTCTGATTTTTCAACTCTTCATGTTGAGCACTAACAGATATTGTATATGTTTTATTTTGTGCCACCTACACATCACAGATTTGGTGTTAATATTTTGCACAGTTGCCATGCCAACATTTCTGAGTAACATTGCTGATTCCCAAACATTTCTACTGTCTTATGATCCCTGATAAAATTATGTTCATTATATACTTGTGTACCATGTCTCAATTTAAACGGACACCCTAAGCAACAAAATAAGTTTAGCTTAGTAGTGTGGTTTATGTGTATAGATCATGCCTCCGCAGTCTCACTGCTCAATTCTCTGCCACTTAGTAAATTTCTTTGTTTATGCAGCCCTAGCCACATCTCCCTGCATGTGACCTACACAGCCTCCCTACACATTATCTGTAAAGAGAGATCTAATGTTTAAACTTCATTTACTGCACAGTTGATTTAGTTTTGAATTTCTTATCTCTTGCTCTGTTCATTGCTTGCTACAGTGTGTCATTAAACTTTGATTAACAGAGCAGGATATAACTTCTAAATTAAACACACTGTGCTGTAAGAGCTGATTGATAAATACAACCATTTGTTTCAGACTCTGTGTGTCACAGCCAGGAGAGGTGTGATTTAACTCCTAAATGGCAGACAATTGAACAGTGAGACTGCGGGGACATGATCTATGATCTTAAACTTCCTCATTGAGCTAAAGTTGTTTTGGTGCTTAGAGTATCCTTTTAAACTAGTGGTGTCTAATGCAAAGCAAACCAAAATTCAGAGGTTCAACTATTTTAAATGGGGGCAATATATAAATCAATTGTAGGTTATAATGATTGTGCCATAATAACTGTCCTTCACTGCTCCGTGCAATCACACAAATTGTCTCAGTTTACTATCCTGGTGTCTCATTATGCCATCATAAATGGCATAGAACTCATGACAAAGGTGCAGCTTAGCGCCGAAATGCGCGTTGAGGTAGACACCACTGTTATGGTTTTTTACTTAGGACCTCTCTGTTAGCCACGTTATCTGTATCTGTAAATTTGTTTCGGACATCAAGCTATAGGACTAGCCAGTACCTTGAAGCTTAGCTAGCCGTTAGAACTGCCTTGAAGCAGTTAGTGCCAAAAGTTTATTTAGGAAGTAACACTCCAACCAAATAGAATCTCGCTGGGCAGTTTTTCACTTAGTCGCTACTCTCCTTATCTCTGGATATTTCTGTGATACCTATATACTTCGAACCACATGTCTGGGGAGTAGTTGACATCTTATGCTTGCCTTAAAAATGATATCTTATTTGGTTTAAATCATACTAAGCAGACTCTTATCGAGAGATCAATTTCCTGTACATTTGGCAATCATTCTGTAACATCTATAATCTCTAAACTTTATTGGGGAATTAATCTCCTGCTAGCCTGTAGATTTGATCCACAAGATTGCCTCCTGTCTTAGTTGCATGCCACTGAGCAAAAATGTATTTTGTTTGCAATTGTAGACCAGAGCAATCAATTAAGACACGGGATTTGAGATACCTGGATCTATATGCTGTATATATGAACAAGCACTCGCTCATGCGTATGATATTGAGCGGGTCCCCACTAACATTCTATAGTTGACTCATAACAAGTTCTAGCAGCATTATTTAGTAAAGGATACTGTAATAGGGAATTTATTTCATACATCTTCCTTACCACTATTAGCTTCCCGATAGCAAGTGTTTGATATCTGGGGCTCGCTATTTTGGTTCTACTTTTCTCTCAACACCCATCTCCTTACTCTAAGCGATTTATATATACATCGAACGCTTTTGGGTCACTCCTATGGATAGCCATACATCAGGGTGCTTATTTGTTACTGTATGCATAGGATACCATTACATTCAGTCACATTTTTACCACTTCTCCCTGACAAAACATCTGATTCAACTAGTGGTTAGATCGGCTACTTTATTATCAACATTGTATCAGGTACAATCAAACCTGTTACAATAGGCTATGGTGTATGGTCCTATTTTAATTTAGCCACGTTTGTACTTTATTCTTTTTTTGCACTTTGCAAATCACACACCTTTTCTCTTTATTTTTGTCTTATATATGTATACCCAATTATGGACTCAATAAAGTTGTAACATAAAATGTATTTTCTTTGGGTTTCAGGCAATTCTTTGCTTTATATTAAAGCAAAGATTATTTAGATTTTGGGCTTGCCTCTCTTGTGTAACTCCTCCTCAGCCCTTCTTATCCATCTACTTTTATAATGTCAGTCTATGTCTGTGGTGAATACACACTTGTGAGATCATGGCCCACTGTAACTTATCACTTCCTAGTATAGGGCATATATACTTCCTGGTTGTCATTGTTTCCCTGCTTTGCAATGGTTCTTGTTACATGAGAGTGCGTTTATACTGTGTATTGTACTTACTGTTTCTGACCTTCTTTGATCATTCTTGCATTCCATTATCCTGACTTCGTTCTTACTATCGATTCTTTGTATCTCTGTTATCCTAGACTTTGGCCTGACTATCCATTCTGTGTATCTTGGTTATCCCAGACCTCGGCCTGACTATCCATTCTGTGTATCTCTGTTATCCTGACCTCAGCCGGACTATCCATTCTGTGTATCTCTGTTATCCTGACCTCAGCCGGACTATCCATTCTGTGTATCTCTGTTATCTTGACCTCGGCCTGACTATCCATTCTGTGTATCTCTGTTATCTTGACCTCGGCCTGACTATCCATTCTGTGTATCTCTGTTATCCTGACCTCAGCCTGACTATACATTCTGTGTATCTCTGTTATCCTGACCTCGGCCTGACTATCCATTCTGTGTATCTCTGTTATCCCAGACCTCAGCCTGACTATTGATTCTGTGTATCTTGGTTATCCTGACCGCGGCCTGACTATCCATTCTGTGTATATCTGACTATCCATTCTTTGTATCTCTGTTATCCTAGACCTCGGCCTGACTATCCATTCTGTGTATCTCTGTTATCCTAGACCTCGGCCTGACTATCCATTCTGTATCTGTTATCCTGACTTTGGCCTGACTATCCATTCTGTGTATCTCTGTTATCCTAGACCTCGGCCTGACTATCCATTCTGTGTATCTCTGTTATCCTAGACCTCGGCCTTACTATCCATTCTGTGTATCTCTGTTATCTCGACCTCGGCCTGACTATCCAATCTGTGTATCTCTGTTGTCCTGACCTCGGCCTGACTATCCATTCTTTGTATCTCTGTTATCATGACCTCGGCCTGACTATCCATTCTTTGTATCTCTGTTATCATGACCTCGGCTTGACTATCCATTCTGTGTATTGCTGTTATCCTGACCTTGGACTGACTATCAATTATGTGTATCTCTGTTATCCTGTGTAAGGAAACTTAGTATATCCAATACTTATTCGGTAGTTTCCTTTTGAACGGCCAGAGCATCAGTGACTAGAATTCTCTTCGGCAGATAAAATAAACGATTCCCATACGAATGCAATAGCTTTACCAGACGATTCTCTGCCGAAGAGAATTATAGTCATTGATGCTCTGGCCGTTCAGAAGGAAACTACCGAATAAGTATTGGATATACTAAGTTTCCTTACACAGGATAACAGAGATACACATAATTGATAGTCAGTCCAAGGTCAGGATAACAGCAATACACAGAATGGATAGTCAAGCCGAGGTCATGATAACAGAGATACAAAGAATGGATAGTCAGGCCGAGGTCAGGCCTATCACAGCGCCAACTGCTGGTATGAATTGGTATGGCTGCAAGGAAGTGTGTAATCTCTGTCTTAGCCAGACCCCCAGTGGGGGCTGGGTATGGAAAGCCAGGGACCCTCATTCAGTGTTAAACTGCTTGAAAATAATTTGACACCTAAGAGAGGTACAGCACCAGGGGGTTCCAGGCACTATAACTATTTAAATGAGATGCCTATTGTGTCCCTTTAAAATCTCTTGTAATCTCCGCAGTACCCCACACCCTAACCACATCTCCAGACATTCTCTCAAAAGAAAGGTTTCTTAAACCTTTCAAGTGTTTTAAGGACCACTAAAGAAACGCAGACCACTTTATCTAAATTAAGTGGCCTGGTTCCAGTGACCCTTTAATTTTAACCCTGCAATGCAATTAATTGCTGTTTTATTAGATCTGGCAAAGCTTGCATCGCAAGGTTAAATACACCTCTAGTTGCTGAAACTTGAATGGGAATTCTGTGACCCTAGTGGCCATGTGTGTTACTTTAGTTATTTGTTTTTTCACTGTATGAAATGTTATTGTTTCCAAAGTAAAGTAAAACAAACAGCACGAGAAAATTGTAAGATCTAAGTGTTGAAGGTGTTACAATTTAACCGTGACACAGTCAATCAGTCAATTACCTGTGTTGGTCAGAGGTGAGATGTTAGGGACTGTCCAGTGGGCTGCAGGCCAGTCTTGTTTACTGGTATTACCTGCTAGGTGGTGGTCAATTTCTTGAGCAAGCCTACGATGGGGAGTAGAGCAGTAAGCTTCCAATGCTCTACTATGATACTTTTATCTGCTATCAAGATGTGTTTTCTGTGGTTCTATAACATAGTCTGGTACATCTAGGAGGAAATACAGAGGTGAGTAAGGCAGTCTTTAATAATATGACTTACATTCGCCCAACAAGAAGATAACTGCCCGCAATCCCAAAATATATGCAGCATAGTACCAGTCTTCTGTTGGCATTCTAGTTGCAACTGAAGGAGCCTAAGGAGATATGTTCAATATGCACAGGGTCTAAGTACCATTTTAGCTTAGTGATGATAGAATACTCCTTTCTTCTGGCCATTGTGGCTGCAGAGAGTTAAAAGTATATCAGTTCCTAGAATGGCTCATGGAATTTACGGACTTTGCCAGCCACATACATAAGTGCCTCTTTCAAGGAATTATAGTGTTGCCACGTAATTACGTCTTGTGGCATATCAGCAGGTAATACATGCAGTTTAGCAATGTGGTTTGCGCTATCCAGTAAGCACCTAGTGTCTGGCTCACTTGGGGTGAGGGCTTTGAAGGTTATTGTCTCTAGTATTCCCCAAATCCTGACATTAACTGGCTCTGTCCTCAGCATAAGCTGCTTTCATGGGTGAGGAGGAGAGTTATGGTTTGCTTCCAAGCTGGTAATCTTATCTACCACCTCGTAGTGACCTTCACAAAGCAGGTCTAATTTGACCTCGAGGGCCTGTAGATCGCAGTGCAGGTCCACAGTTATAGTGTGCATTTTGATGCTGTACAAATCTGAGGGGGACGGGATTTATTCTGAAATAGTTTCCTGATTCCAGACTCTGTAAAATCAAACAATTGTATATATTCTTATTAAATCCCAAGATATTGTGAATCGCTAGAAAGTAAAAACATTAAATTTATAGCAGGATTTTTACTCTTTAATCTCCATAGGCTAGAGCCATGCCATACTGAAACCGCAATGTATAACTCTGATTTCAGAAATGACCGTGTTGAGTGAAGCTTGCAGGAAATGAATTTTGGACTCTGATCATATATTTTAATTCATTAAAGGCAACAAGAGAGCTCAGATTTATCTTGATGCATTTCACGTATGCCTCGTCTTGTCTGTTATTTTCTGTTTGAAATCAGGATTCAGAAAACCCCAAGCGGCTTAGATAGGAGCGTTTGTGTAAAAGACTATATTGTACTGAGCACTGTCTGGGTTAGCTCTACTTTTATCTGAATATTTATGTCAGTATAAATTACAAAAAGTAAAACGACAAGACAAAAGTAAAGACAAGGCTTTTCATACAATTATTATAAATTTAGGGAATTTAAAAGCTAAAATTAGGGTAACTACTTTAATTGCAGAGTGTAATCATTGTTAATGACTGTCAATATCTCCAACTTTAATAATTACTATGATCTTTTTTATTTGATTGGAATCGTTTTGTTTTTTTTGTCAGGTAGCTAATTTGTATGGTGTAAAAAATACAATGTTTTAGGACTCCTCATGTTCAAATTAACTGTAATGTAAGTGTATTAATGTAATAATTCATTACGTACGGAAATTGTGTTCTATTTTGAGAAGATAGTAATGTGTTTGATGATTTGTTCTTATACTTTCTCTTTCCATTTACTAAAGACATTCCAAGGAAATTATATATTTTTTTGGTTTAATAACAGTTTGTGATAATATTATAAATATGATATGGAGGAAATAGGGAAGACTGCAGTCTGGTTGGCCTGTTAATAAATGATTGTATTTTGAAGTGACCCATGGGCCAGAACAGCCTAAATGCTGGTTATCAATACTTAGAATGCATAATTGACCAAAGGGGCGTTTGCATTGATAGTCCTTGAAGACTTGTGTCAGTGTGCTATTCAGTCACAGTCCTAGGATTCTATCAGAAGTTTAAGCACCCAGTGCCATCAGCATAGTTGATCATCTCCTTCTACACCAACGTACTCAGTCCCGGGAAAGAAGCGACTCCACCGGGGATAATTGCGTAAGCAACATTTGATTTGAAAACCTCGAAATAGTTATATATTTGTTATATATTTTTGGGTTTTTTAATATATTCATGTGATGTTCTTATGGCAATGTCTCTTTTTCTATAACAGATCATTAATCAAACGGAATTCTTTGCATGTGATTTGCAGATTCTGCATACATTTAATGAGAAATATATTTTCCACTAAAGAATCTAGAAAAAAAATCTTGGCTACTTGGTCTTAACTGAAAGCTTTATCTCCATCTGGTCAGCACACTGCCATGTAGCTAACATAAAACAGCCTTGTATTGCTGTATCCCGGCCAGGGACCTTCCTGTTTGCTTGTTTACACCAGGAGAACATCCGTGTTTACTTGCTCCTAATTGTAATAGTTGGTTCTGACTTGCTATTTCCAATCATCTTGTACAGAGTATTGAAGAAATGGGCAGACTTCATCTCTAGAACAGCCTTAGACTGGGTACACAAGGGTACACTGAGCTGGCATCCAGCTGTTTCACCGGGACAGGTCAGACAAATAACGGATGTGGAGTGCAGGCCACATAGAAGTTAGCATGACAACCCGGATATTGGTGATATTGCCATCTTATCCTTTACAGTGTCACATAATAGCAATTACAATGAAATCATTCATGTCCATCACTTGTCCATCAATTGTATTTATTCTCATTAAGTACCTGGAGAAGTGTGGACATGCTGGTCATGATTTATGGGTGCAGAGACTGAGGTCCAACATATCTTCATCAACATGATTTGCAACGTTCTAGCTACTTGATATACTTTCATCTCTCACTATATATTTCAAAAGATGCAATTTTAGTTCTAATCTTTGTAATATTTCTCAACCTGTATTATCAAATATGGACTTGGGAAAATGAAGCACTCATAGTGGTAGTTAAGTAAAATACTACTGAATATAGAATGTGGCTTTAGCTTACTCTAATCCAACACCTGCTATTTATCTCTAACCCTTCACTTCAATAGTAACTGGAGTATATTGTGACCAATATGCCGATATCTATTTTCTAATGATATCATTATATCTATCTAATTGTAGCAGGTGTGTGTCACTAATTACTTTAAACATTTAAGCTACACGTATAGGGTTTAGGAAGTGATTTCTACTCTTTGAAAGATAGTCTACGTTGTCCACATCTCCATTTACCAACATTAAATTGCACATTGGCACTTTCCACTATAACACAGTTAGGTGGATTTGTGTGATTCTACACTTTTTGCTTCATTGCTTTCTCATTTTTTTATTACAGATATAAACAAGAGATTTTAATTTATTCAATAGAGGTTACTTTTTTAATTAATGATACTCTTTCTTGAAGCTAGGCTCCCTAGTGGAACTTGTCTCTATTAGTTTGTTCAGAGATTCTAGTATTTGCAATATTAATTTGTATTTACCTGTTATGTACTTTGGTTATTTACTTTATGTTAGTCTTCATGATGCTCTCTGAAGTGTTTAGTTTTTCCCACCACCCCCATCTCCATCTCTGCTACTATCTTTATTAACGAATTTTCACCAATCTCACTTTAGTGAATAACCCTATTAATATTTGTAGATAAACTTTGAAAATGATTTTTTCAAAATATTATTTAATCTTATATTAAATTAAAGAATACAAATATCATAAATAAAACATGGAGGATGAAGATCTAGCGCTGGAGCTGATAAGACCTGTTTCTGAAGAGTTCTAGGTCGACAGCTCTGATTAGTACAAAAGTCATCTGTCTACCTTGCCAATCAAGACACCTATTGCCTCACAACCATTAGCAGTTGGGATGGGACAGAGATCCAAGAAACTGAATGGCTCCCAGTATGGGGATCTCGAGGTATTGGGATTATTTGGCCCATAGTCCGATCAGGCCTGTTGAAAAGATGACCCATGATGAGTACTCATATCCAGAGGAGCCTGCTTTTGACCAGTCTGATAGTTCCCTTTTCTCTGGCCTCCACCACCTGTCCTCGGACAAGGATGATGTAATCCCTTCTTCAAAGGCAGATATCAAAGCTCCCCTGTGGGAGCATACACTAGCAGGGGGAATGTGAGTGATTGCAT